GGCGGCGGGGGCCCGGGAAGAGCGCGCAGCGAGTCGGGGATGAGGCTCTCCAGGCTTTCGTTGGCCTGCTGTCGGCGCAGCGCCACCTGCGCCGCCATGACCCGCTGCCGCTCTATGATGAGGATGCACTTCTCGCAGGTGCAGTCCTTGAAGCGGCAGTAGCGCTTGTGGCCCTTGAGCCAGGACAGCACTCCGTGGTTGCGGCAGCGCGCGCACTTAGGCGTGCGCTGCAGGGGCGCCCGCGGCGGCTGCGCCACCGGGCCGCCCATGTACAGGTAGGGGGAGCCGTAGCCGTTCATGCCCCGGGCTCCCGGACCTGCTGGCGGCGGGCGCGGGCCCGGGGGCGTGGGGCTGCGCGGCGGGAGACCGGCTCAGGGGTGACGGCGGCGTGGCACAGTTCCTGGCCTCGTAGCCCCCGCGGCCGCGCGCTGCGGGCGGTCCCCGGTGTCCTTGTCGTTTCTCAGGATCCCAGGACGGCCGCGTCCCCACCGACCGTTGCTGGGGTGCGCAGCCCGGCCCGCGCGTCCCTGGCCGAGGCGGCTGCTGGAACCGCTGGAGCGTTGGTGAGTCTGAGCAACCCGGCTGAGCAGCAGACGCTTGCGGGCCGGCGCCTCCTCCGCCGCTTCCTCCACCCAATTCCCTCCCCCACCACCCCACCTCCCCACCTCCGGGGACCAGGACTCCTGACACTCTCCACTCCACGCCTTCCGCCTTCCTTCCTTCCTTCCTTCCCGAGCGCGCTCCTCGGTTCCCTGCACTTCACCTTCCTCGCCACCTGCAGCCAGGCTGCTCTTGCGGGGGCGCTCACGCCCCTGTCCCTAGACCTCTGCTCTGCCAGCGGCGGGAGGGACTGCGGCGCCCCGGGACCGGCAGGGCACGTGGGGCGGGGGCGGGGAGGGCTGGCTTGCCGGCGAGGGTGGGGGTGAGGGTGGGGGCGAGGCGGCAGCTCCCTCCCTCTCTCCAGGCCTGACTCGGCAGCACCGAGCCCGAGGCCGCTGGCATCAAGACACTTGGCCGCAGGAACTCAGCTCAGCGAGGAGGGGAGACGACGCGAGCGCTGCGGACGCCCCGGGAGTCGGCTCCGGGCGAAGGGGCTTTTACTTCAGTCGAGCCAGGCCCCGCGGCCACGGCCACAGGAGGGGTGGAATTGGGGCTACCCATTGCCGCCGACTTGATTCTGCCTCACAGTGACTCTGTAGGACAGAGTAGAAGTGCCCAATGGAGTTACCTAAGCTGTAAATCTTTAGGGAAGCCAACTGCTAAATCTTTTTTCCACAGAGTGGCTGGTGGGTTCGAACAGCAGAACTTTCTGTTAGCAGCCGATCACTTAAGCACTGTACGACCAGAGGTCCTTGGAATTAGTGTTAGAGGGATGGTATTGGGTCGGGATCATTTGGCTCTTTGTTTTCTTTTGCTGCAGTAACAGAAAAAGAATGCTTTTGAAAACCCGCCGGTCCTAGGATGACAAGCTATGTTGTGGACCATTTCAAAAGGAAGAAAAGTGCCCCCTCTCTGGTGTCGATTTTATTTCTTCACGTCCCCTCACTCGCTGTTTTAATAAATAGCAGCTTCTATTCCGAAAGGCCGGGAAGTGCTCGCGTGGAGCGCTTCCTTAAGTGCTGGGTCTAAACTTCTGAGAGAGCACGTTATCCCGGAAAGTTCCAGATACGAGCTTGCTTTCCCCAGCAGCCATTCTCCATCCAGATTCCGTCGGACTCTGGGATTTAGTTGTGGATACGGGGTGGAACCATTTTCCCACTGCCCCTATGGTGGAAGTGGCCCGTGTCCTTTGCACAAAATGATGGCATAAAACTTGGCTTACACTTTATCTGCTCGTTTCTATCTGCGACGAGTATCTGGTTTGTTTTAATGTAGAGTAACCCAACAAACACTCAGGGACGGCTGAAAACACCCATCAAAAACAACCACCACCCAAAACCCAGGTGGTACAGTGAGAGCAGAGCAGCAGAATAGGGCAGAAGGGGCAGAAAGCACAAAGGGAGAAGTGGCAGGAGAGGTGATGGTCTGCACGGTCCCGACAGCGGCCAGGAAAATCATCTGTCCCTTGGAGGGCTGAGCCAGTCGAATGCAGACCAGAGTATAGACGAGTCTGCAGCAATACCCAACCCTTCGGCTGCACAGTTGTCCTCATCCCTGGAGGGGAGACCTGCTTGGCTCTACATGGCCCTGGAGACCAGCAGGTGACTCGAAACTGTCCCTCTAGTCTGCTGGGAATTCAAGCAAGGCACTGCCAAATCTTCCACAAGGAAGGGTGGTTGGGAAGAGGGATTCCAAAGGGAGTCTGGTTATATGCATTTACTTTGATGTCCTTCACCACATCCCCAGATTCCCAGAGTTGGGACTTGCTAGAAGCTGTCTTGGAGGCATAGGCACCAAGCTAACCCTGGGAGACCTCTCCCCAGTGCTGCGCCAGCACGGCCCCTCAACCTCTCCCCTTCTCCCTTATCCCCACCATCTGAAGCCCTCCACTAGGAAAGCAGCTGTAAAACGCAGCAGCTGAAAGGGACTTTAGGAGTTGTGGCACCAAAACAGAGATTACCCATGTCCCGAGGCTGGAAGTAGGTGCCCGCAGCAAGTGGCTTTAAGTGACGAGGGATATAGAAGGCCATGAATGACACCAAATCTGGGAACTTCACACCGAAATCTCCATGGCAAAGCCCAGTTTCTCCCGATTTTCTCAATGGTTAGCGAAAATGGCAAAGTACAAGCAACTTGGGAGTAGAGTTTTATAAAAGGGAAGCAGCTGAGCTTTCTCAGGTTTGGGGGCATTTTCACTACCAAGACGACCCCCTTTTCCTCCCTCAGTCACCTAGCCACCGGATCCCTTTGCCATTCAACAGTCTGGCATTCTTTGGTCCGGGGCCCGTTTCACTCCAGTGCACATTGGGGGCTGAGATCTAAATCCTCATTTGATATAGTGCAGTAATCCTTTTCTCATATTTGATGGGAATGTTTTCCATATCCCAGTATTTGACAACATCTCCCTATAGGGACAGGTTTGTATTTATGTTGGTAAAACGTCCCCTGCCTCAAAGTCTATTGTAACCCAACACCTGACAACCCCGAATCCCATTTCTGTTTGCAGAAAGGGTTTATTCAAGCACATAATGGGATCCCAGCAGAAAGCCTTTCAGAACAAGGAGCTCTGGTAAACTTCACCACATGAACTCCGTTTCCAGGGCTATTAAGCTTTTAATTGGAAAATAGCAGAGGAAATTTCAAGGTGACTATAACGTGTTAGCAGTTAGTATGGAGAAGAAAAGCCGGCGCGGGAATGAATGTGGAAAGCATATGGTCCGAATCACGTTTAGGAGGAGCGGCCTGCTTCTAGCAAGTCCCGGCGGCTTACACACTTATGGGAAAAAGCATCAAAGAAATTGGAAAGGGAGGGATTACAAGTAAACGTGACCTCACTAGACTGGATCCACTGCACTACGTGGTGTGTGTGTTCAAACCCCAGTTAACTGGTATGAATAGCGAAAGGGTAGGAGATAATGTGCAAACGTGGTTCTGTTTCTCCACACACACACAATTGCCTGGTGTGTTTATATCTAAAGGGTTGGAATGCAGGTGCCGTGGCCAGAAAGCGAGGATGTTCTGACTGGCAATCTTGACGTCCTGGTGGCTGTTCCCCATCCGTAGCAACGCAAATCAAAAGGGCAGTTTCATACTGTCTGGATGTATACCACATCATTCCTGAGTTCTGCTTTGCTAGGTTCTTCTGACCACAGAGGTCAGGGTCCTATTTTGTCATTTTCATTGTGACTTTGGTGACACTCTGCTATCCTATCCCTATCGGGAATGTCTTGGCTTTCACCAGTTCCTGCCACTCGGCCTCGGGCCTTGGCCATAATCACATTGAAAGAGAGGGGTATGTTTAGCAAAGAGGCAGGGCTACCAGCAGTCCATTTATTGAGGTGCTACCAATACCCTTGTTCACCCTCGGCTGCTTGGGAAGAGACTTTGCACACCCCAAAGGGGCGTCGGGTGGAGGGCACCAAGCTATGCGAGGCGATGAACCGGCATCTGGTTGCCTGGGTTATGCCACTGAGTAAGAGGAGGGTTCCTGGTGGCCACGGCCCCACACCATTTTGGAAGGGAGACAAGTCAGTGGACGACTTGTTCCATCCCCCAGTGGCCTTTGGAGTAAACCAGGGCATGGCAGAAAGAGCTGTGGCCCAGGGCAGACTGCTCCACTTGGACATTTTGAAACCTTCGAAGCCTGAGGCTGTAGCAGCCTCTGCCCTTGCAGAGTCTGTGTGGAGCAACCTACCTTTTGGGCCTAGGGAGGTGTCCCTCCTGCTTGGTGTTATCTGAGGGCCCCATTAAGCAGGCCTCGATCCCATTTCTTAAGGGGGTGGAAAAGCATACAGGGGCTCCTACTGGACCAGGCTCTGTTCCTCCAGAGGCCAGAGAGCAGCTGCTTCCTCCACGCTCCAGCCTTGGCCCCATTCATCTGGCCCTGTGGGACAACGCACGCTTGTATGAGTGCCATGCAAAGGAGAAAAGAAAAACCATGTTTTTCTCCCAGGTGAAAGAGCCATCTTGCTTTGCTCTGTTGTCCGGTCCATTGGCCACCCCTCCCCCCCACCCCCGTGGCAGAGTAGAACTGCCCCGTAGAATTTCTTAGGCTGTAATCTTTACAGGAGGAGCTCTGGTAGTGTAGTGCCTAAGGCACTTGACTGCTAACCAGAAGGCTGGCGGTTCAAACCCACCAGCCACTCCTCGGAAGGCAGGTTGGGCAATCTACTTCCGTAGTGATACTGCCTCTCAGAAACCCAAGGAGGGGTGGAACATAACAACAACATTTACAGGAAGGAGCCCTGGTGACCCAGTGGTTAAACATTCAGCTGCTAACCTAGAGGTCTCTAGTTCAAATCCACCAATCTCTCCTCAAGAGATGAGATGATAATCTGCTGCTGTGAAAATCACAGCCATAGAAAAGCCTATGGGGCAGGAGCTCTGGTAGCATAGTGGCTAAAGCACTTGACTGCTAACCAGAAGGCTGGCGGTTCAAACCCACCAGCCACTGCTCGGAAGGAAGGTTGGGCAATCCTACTTCCGTAGTGATACTGCCTCGGAAACCCAAGGAGGGGTCGCTATGAGTCGGAGTCGGCCGGACTAGAGGGCACATAACAACAACAACAGGGTCACTATGAGTTGGAATCTACTCGATGGCAACGTGTTTTGTTGTTTTCTTTATGGAACCTTTACAGGCGCAGATCTTTATGCTGCGGAGTGAGACTTTGAAATTAAAAACCAACCAATTAAAAAGCCCAAGCAAATAATTTTTGATAATTTGAACAACAGTCAAGGGATTAGGAATTAAGTGTCTTCTTCAAAGGGTTGTCTCTCTCGGCGTCAGTGAGTTCTTGTCTAGGCCGCGCCACTTTTCCAGAACACTCCCTCGCCTCCCCTTTCTTCCCAGGTCCGCGCCAGGGGTCTGGGAATCAGTCGGGGAGGTGGCGAAGCGCCGGCCTGCTCACGGGATAGCGGGTGCGCACTCAACGAGCCGAGGCCCCGGCGGAGCGCGGGTACAAGGGACTGGGAACCGGGGAGGGTTTTGAAGTGCGTTGCTGACGACCGCCAGGCCAAGACACCGCCAAGAACCAGCTCCAGCTCTAACCTCCGGGCCCTACGACTTCCGGAGCGCCCGAACCCCGCCCCAAACGGCCTGGCCCGCCCCCGAACCCCGCCCCATCCTGCGCCCCGCCCCGGGCTGGGCCCTCACCGCAGCCTCGGCCTAGGCTAGCAACTGCAGCAAAGTTTGCTGAGTGCTGTTTGGGGTGTAGGTCAGGGGAGGGACGTAAAGAACAAGTGACAGAGCAAAGGCCCAGCCGCGTGGCGTGAGGCCCGGGGAAGTCTCTTATAAAGGTGTGGTCCGCGAGTTGTTGCAGGGCCCAGGGCGCGAGGCCCCGCGTTGAGTTTCGCGTTCAAAACCCCCAAAAGGATGCGGCTCGCGGGTGCCTGGAGCATTGGGAAGCACCCTCCCTCGGCAGCTGTCTGTGACTCTCGAGAATGTTCCACAAAAGCTGTCAACACGACTGGGGTGCCACGCGGAGAGATCCCTCCGACGGCTATGCGGAGGAAGCTGTTCCTGCCTGAGTAGCGTAGGAGACCTCGGTTTTTGACAGGGCCCTAAATGCCCTTTCCATTCAGGGTGAGGGACACGTGGGGTCGGACCCGGGAGTCTGGCTCACTCTCTGATCCTGGATTATGTTCCCAAGGGGCGTGTAGGGGAGCTCCCTCTGCGGATGTGACCGCAGTTAGGGCAGCGAGGAGATGTCACTCACGGTGTGCTGCCCCTTCCCTCCAGGCTTTTCCTCTGCTTCCAGATCTTCTATAATGGGGTAGGAGCTATGGGTCTGCCTGCCAAGGGGGTTAGGGGGAGCACAGTGTCGCCTTAGACCTCAAGCAACGCAGGAGGCGGCAGGAAGCTGCTTCCTTTGCCCGAGCCCCGCGTAGCATGGCAGAGCACGGATAGAGGAGCCGTGGAGAGATTGCCGTGGAGAGATTGCCTTAGTTTTCCCGCGCCAGAGCACCGAGGGTGCCTGTCAAGGCACAGAGAGGGCTGTCCCTGCAGCCTGCCCAAGTTTGCACACTCCTGTCTGGCGCTCAGGGTGCACGCACTCAGGTCCGCGGGTTCCAGACCTCGGTGCACCGGGCGGAGCTGGGAAACTTGAGCTTCTCAGGTGTGCATATTAAACTATGACTGAAGCCCAGTA